GTACTCCGGAAGTGCCGAGTATTTTTCGAAGAGCTTCAGTGCAGAATCATCTCCCCACAGCACGGCGGACGGTAGATATCGCTGGCCGGTCGACGGCCGGAGGAGGCTTCGTTCAAGCTTCTCCTTGAGCTGAGACGCTACTGGTCGGCCGATCGCGAGAATTGAGATGTCCGCATTGCTTGATTCCATTGCTTCCAGTGGATGACGGTCCAGATTTGTAGGCGTAATGTCTCTATTAGGACTTGTCCTTGACGCAATGCAAGATATCGGGTAGTGTCAAGATAATGTGTACGAAACTTTGGTGTGGAAATGCAATATACGTCGGCTGGCTAGGCCGAATTAATAGTCAGCATGGCACTGTCCGGTGACAGAAACTGTTTCTGGGCACTGTGTGACGTTTTTCGTACCATGTGTAGTCGTAGCTCATGCAGACGCTCAGACCAGTTCGACGCGTCAGGTTGTGCCAGTCGTGCCGAGAGAGCCGCGGCCAGACGTGGCGGGGTGTGTCTTACATTGAGCGGGTCTGAGACGGTCTGGCTGTGAATGAATGAGTTGCAACCCGAAAACCCTTGATGTATTGATGATCGTTCACACCGTTTGCTAGGCTCGCATATGTGCCAGTACTGCCGAAAACCCTGTCTCAGGAGCCCACCCCGCACGAGCACAGTAACCAGCTACCCTGTCCCCCGGTGCGTCGCCGCGTCCGCCTGGTGTTTGTGGCAGTCGTTAAACTCGCCGAGAAACTCGGACACGTACTCAGGGAGCTCGAGTCTGTTGTACTCGCTGGGGACAGGTTCGCCCACGGCCGTGTACACGGGCACGACCCCTGTCCATACCCTGTTGAGCGCTTCTTCGTTCTCTAAATCACTCTCATCATCCACAGCCCCACCGTCACGTATCTTCGCACTACCAGACTTGATCTTCACCCGCAAAATGCCTGTACTCTGCATCTCCGCCCCGGTTGGGGGTAAACGTGTGTTGCGCCAACGGTGCGGCACGACACTATCAGTGATCAGCTCTAATGCGTACATCTTCTCGGCCTCATCGGTGACGAGTGACGCGTGACCGAAAAGCACAGCGGAACGGTAGTTGTAACTGTGGTTAAAGCCTGAGAGGGCTAGGACGATGCCGTCCACATGTGACGCAGCAACGCAGACAGGGACACCGTCCTCACCCGCGGCTCGGCCAACGTTAAACATACGCGCAGAAGCGAAGCCATGGATATACAAGTCCAAGGGGTCGCCGATGGAGGCGCTGGGGCGGTCGAACGAGCCCATCTGACCGATCATGGGAAGGGTGACGGGGAACGCAGAATCCGGAGGGGTGAAGGAGACATGGAGGATCTGGCTTGTGTTGATGAGTCCATGGATCCTTTCAAGTGCGTAGATGCCTGTGCTGTCCTTAGCCATCGTCCATGCTCGTCGCAGGATAAATGACTGACCTCGCTCGCCACGGCGCTTGACGACATTGGTTGCGTCCTTGGGATATTCGAGTTCGTAGCGTCCCATCTTCCAGGGTATTGTTTTTGTTTTTTTTTGAGTTGGTGAATTACTGGAAAGTTATGACAATCGACTTCAATTGAGGTCTTAGTGGAAGTTCTCGCACGACTTGAGAAGTTGTGTGTGGGCGGAGAGTACTGCTCTGGCTGCCTGAGCCCAAGTTACAGTCGCGCGGTCTGCTGGCACTCGGGTTGTTCTTCTGCCCATCTACTCTAACCGGAGATGCGTTGGGTAGAAATGCGGGGTGGTGACACCTGTCACTCAGCTAGGTCTCGAGTACGCCACAATGCTTAATGCAGGTTGCCTCTGCTCCAGCGTTTCCGCTGTGAACCGTTCCGGCAAATGGCGTTCGTCTCCCTGCAGCGCAGGTCTCGTTTTCGTAGCCACAATTGCAACCTCGTCCAATGTCATTGAGCCGGTTGCAGACAGTAGCCTACTACGAGCCTGGATAGTCGAGTCGTCAGCTCAGACATGAGAAATCTTCTCTCGCTCGGCAGACGGGTGTGGGACACTAAATGCCGCAGTAAGACACGGAAAAGTAGCACACCCGCTCGGCAGGCCGGGGTGGGACGCTAATTACCGCAGTAAGACACGGGTGATGCGGCACGGGTAGATGTTTCATGTAATACTTTGTTCGAACTTCATAATTCCACACACCATGTTCTGGCCGTCGCCGATAAATTGACTTTTTCAGACGCAACACATGCGGTATGATGGAAAGTCTCTTGAGAGTTTGCGAATCCAGTAGATACAATAATTGGGGGCGAGACTCTATCAGGGATGCTCTGGACCCGGCGCCGTGGCTTATTATGCAGCACCGGATACCGCCACCCCGGCCCATTCCTCGCTGAGTCGATGCTCTGGCCGCAGGAAATATGACAGAAAGAATCTCTTACCAGCCCCATCCGACGGCTGAGTAACACGATGCAAAGGCGATCGCAGCCTACCTCCAGACAACCGCGTAAGAGCGCTTGCCCCATGGACCAACGCGCAGCCCTCCGGCGGTGGAGGTACGAATGTCCAGTTCCCTTGTCCATCGTCGTCATCGGTCAGACAGACCTGCAGGCTCCACTCATCGTAGAAGAGCATAGTCAGGGACCCACTGTCGCGATGTTTGTTTTCGATCACCTCGGCGGCACGAGGGATGGAGGGCTCCGCAATGAGCTTGAGGCCGCTCTCACTTGGCTTGTCGTCGCGATGATGATCCATCAACTGCGGAAGATTGAGAGTGTCCGATAGTTGGGATAAGACCGCCTTCGTTGCCACATG